CTGCTGGACGGTGAGCCGAGTTACGTTCTTTGCAAAAATAAACTATGAAGAATTTTTTCGTTCAGTCTAACACAGATGATACAGTATCCGGCGAATCATGGATTTTTGTGGTACAGTAATACAGGTGGACTCCATATATAACGATCTTGTCTACAACGATTTTCACTGCTTAACAAATTTTTTGTGGCACCATGGGGTCCTCTCCTAATTTTATAGGGTTTCTCTACAACAAAACTGTCTCGTCAAAAATAGTTTTTCTGGTCCCTTGAATTTCGTTGAAGAGAGACCACCTTTATAACCGGAAACACGTAGTCACGTAGTCGGTTTTTTCTTTTCCACTATAGAGGATTAATTGTGTAGACTGTAAAGATATTCAGTCCTGAGCTAGAAATACTTTCTGAAATTGTATTCTGTTTAAGTCATATATGTGTGATATATAAATCACTGAAAATAAATCGATTCAAAATATGAAATAGATTCAAAGAAAAAATAATAATATTGATTATATCCCCGTTTAGTAAATTTGAAAAAAAACTCCGTTTTTACCCTGAAACAATGCTTTAAAAAAAGCTTTGCAAAGATAATATTGTTGCAAAAAAATATAATTTAAAAGGAAAATTTATATTACGGGGAATATTCCTGTAGAATCTATCGTTGAATAAATTACGTCTGTATATATGCAACAATAAACTCAAGAAAGCAATATATTCGAAATGAGGGTTTTTCTGTTTACTTCCGTGAGTTCCTTCGAACTGCAACCTTTTCGATCGCCCTTTTTATTTTACTTATAAGTTTGTATACTGAAAATCTTTTCTTGCGGAAAATTTTTCCGCCCATGCCGAGAACTAAAATTTGTCAGACGCGGGGAAGAAAAACTTACCAAGAAGCTTGTACAGCAGTACTGTATATTGATAGTAAATTTCACTGTGGAAAATTTTTCCTCCAATGCCAAGAAATAAAATTGTCAGACGGGGAAGAAAAACGAGTGGGTCACAAGGTTACTCCGGGCAGAAACAAAAAAAAAATTCCTTTTCTTGCGTCGCGCCTCGCCCTGATTTTCTCAGCACGGCGTGAAATCAGTTATGAAGCGACCGAGAATATTAAATACACGAGAAAAAGAGGAAATAAAAAAAAGGAAAATATACGGAAAGCAACTCGCAGCAGAAGTAAATCTCATTTCCCGTTATATATTTCCCCCTCTATATACCCGGTCGTCTCGTCTCGTCGGCGAACTCTGTGCTGCTGCAGAACTGCTGCAGGCTGTGGTTTCTGTCCCATGAACAGTAAACTTATGCATAAGGAAACGAGGGAAATGGCATTCCCGTTGCTAAAAAATAACTGCCGCCGCTGCGAGGCAGAAATGAGCTGCTTTAATTCTTATATATACTATATATATATAGAGTGTGTGTGTGCACCGTGGAACCGAAGTCCCGGTTCTGGTCCACGGCAGAACGTTGGTTACGCTTCGATTCATCCCAGGTTTTATTTTCTCATTTTCTTTTTTTTTTTAACTTCAAAATGAGGATCTGATTGTCCCATTTTTTTTCGCGGAAATTCCCCGCTTGTGATTTCTTTCTTCCCTGAAGTGTAAGCCGTACAGTATATGAAGTGCCATCGCTTCCCGGTCCGGGATTTCCAGACTTGTTCAGCCCATTTCTTCCCTCGATTGTCTCCTTAGATTCACCGTAATTCGTATTAAACGTCATATTTCAAGTGGAATTCTGCTGGCTAACCCTCCTTGCAACGGTTATCTGATGGGAAATCGTTATGCAGGTAATTTCATTGTACCGGAAATGCCTTAAAATTGTCAGGAAACGCTTTTGCGGACCCGGAAAAATTCGTTTTGGAGGAAATATTTGTAACTAAAAACCTAAGAAAAATAAATATAAATATACATATATATAAATATAGTTTGCCTGCAATTTTTTTCATTTCTTATATATTTTTTCCTTGGCGTAGGTGTCACACAAACATAACAATTTCAAGCTCAAAATTGTCTTGTTTGGGTTACAAGTGGGAATTATTCTGGGTAGCTGTTGCATTCGAAAAAATCAAATGTTTAATGTCTGATCAGGTTTTAAATAAAGGCGACATTTCTACGTCGCTTTAAAATGCGATCAGTATAGTGGGCTGGATGAAATAAGAACTCGACATTGCATTTAAATTTGGCAAAAAATAGCTGTGACTAAATTGTTGGAAATGACTTCACCCGATTCTTTTCCTCGGATGTCGATTAATGAATTTGAGTCATTTTTTTTATTTCAACTTGAGCAATCTAATTTTTAGATTTTGTAATCTCGTTTGAAAAAAATGTTTGAAGCGCTGCGCCGTGGATTAAAATTCATTAGTTATTGAATATATATATACACTTCGAGAACATAAAATATTTTTCTCAGCAATAATTATGGACTTCTGGTCTCGTCATACTTGACATCAATTCCTAAATAGCTCTTATATATTGTAAAACGAGTTCATCTTTACACCGGATTGGTATTTTGTCAGTAGAAATACAGTTAATTAAAGAGAAACACCCCCTGCACGTGTGTAAAATTTAAAATATTTTTGAAGGGAAACTGATTTTCTGCTGGAGCGGGGCAGAATCCTTCCTCATTATGCTGTGGCTTTCTTTAAAAACTTATTTCGTATAATGTTTCTGGTTTAAAAACGCAATAGATATACAGTAAAAGTAGAAGGCAAACGAATCTTGGGACTATTGCGTATTTGTCGCCCTGCACACGCGTGCATCTCATTATCTCGTCTATATATATTTATATGCGCCCTTGAAGCAGTTCGTTGCCCAGCAGGGCCGGCTGCTCATCAGGAACTCGTCCAGTGATTCATATTCACTCGCAGTCAGCAGCAGAATAAGGTGCGTTGCCACCGGGAAGCACCCAAGAACCCCTCCGTTTGGGTACCCGGAAGAAACGAACGCGTAATTGCGATTCGGGCACTCCCATCGTCCGTTTTAAAGCCCATGTCGCTCTCGTGATATGTCTGACACGAAATGAGAAAAGCGTGCTCGGAAGTAATATTATTATTTTTTTATAATTACGCTTTCAGATGGAAATAACTCGCTCCTTTTGTTGAGAATTAGAGTTTTATTTTTGTATAGCTCTTTTATTTTTTATTTTTGCTCGTGGCGAAAGGGAAAGTAGAATACGCATGAAAATGTGCAATCAAAGTAGCATTTTCTTACTGATGAACGGAGATTGATAAGAACATAATTTTTTCATTTCTTATTGTGGTCCTCTCTTTATAAAAAAAAGGAAAAGCCAAAAGCCATTATTTCGATGTTTTGCTTAATAAAAAAAAACGTTGGCCTAATAGTTCTTAATAATGATCACATGAATCTGAGGACTGTGTCAGGCCAGAACGATTCAAATTTCATTGCATTTGAGAAAAATTTACTCCAAGCTTTATCATTTCACAATTTATTTTATCATTCACATGGGAATTTAGACTCAAGGTTTGATCCGCATTATGAACTGCTAGCATGAAAATTACTTCTAGGCATACATCGTAATTAGTACTCAATCCAAATTGATTATGTTGAGGTATTCTATTTGTGTTTAAGGTCGGTGTAAACTTTCACTTTCGGATTTTGAGAAAACCGCCATCTCATCACGAAAGATAAACTGCAATCAATTAATCAATAATTCATGCGGGTCCCGACGAGCTCATAACGTCACCATTATTATGTGGAAAACTTCGGAGGTTTCTTCTTTCAAGATTATATTATATTTTCGTCATAAAAAACTTGGGCGTTACGAATAAAGATATTCTTGATGTTGACCCTGGTGATGTTGAAATAATGTCTTCTACGTTATATATATGGACCTTCTGGAAACTATTGTGCCCTGGGAACACGAAAATTGAGAACCAGATTGTTTCAAGTTCTGAGTTATTGCAACATAGTCATTGTCTTCGGTTTTATCTATAGTGAAAGTCGTGTTTCAACATCTCATTTTTTGTGTACCTTTGTAATTTTCCGGCTTCATCAGATGTCGAATTATTGCGTCACTTCCTTCGGAATTTGTGAGGAAAGGGAGAAAAATCTTGTATTTTTTTCGATCCTTTCTAGTTCAGATTCTCAGCTTCAATGGATATTTTACAATGGGTAGTATTTCTTTGATCTGTTGTGTATAATTGCTTGTTTTTGTTGTGCAGTACCTCTCTTTTGGAGAATGTTTCCCGTCATTTGCATTTAGAGTGATGCGTCAAGAAGCCGCACGCAATATCTCAAATTTTTACAGCTTCCGTGTATGTTCAAAAAGATTAATAATGCGGAAAAGTAACTTGTGCAATAAATCGTTTGACAGACAGGACGCGACCAAGGCTTCATTTTCACTTGGTGTGAAAGTTAAAATTTCATTGTATCATCGCCCCATGAAGGATTTTTCAGCCCCCGGACTTGAAAACGCGCCCAACTTCCTGTTTCCTTGGGCAGATAAAATAATTCCATTGTGTTCGGCAAACCCTCAACACTTTCTTTTCCCCCTCCAGCAGCAGCTAGTTCTTGCGTCATGACCAGTAGCTGTTTATCCGACAAAAAGAAAAGAGACAGAAAAAAAGGAGCAGTCATTTTGCTGACAATAGAGGAACAATAGATAGTAGTAGTGATGGAGGAAAAAGGAAAATGAGCGGGACGAGAAGAGAAAGTCGTTAGCTGATGGGGAGTTGCTACGATTCTCAGTCTCTGGGTTCGTTTAGTTCGGTCATGAAATTCCTTGGATATGACGAGGGATTTGTGGTTGGAATTTTCCTTTGTTTTGCTGGCTGGTGTAATCCCTAAAACGTTATTTTTTTTTCAATGCGAGTGAGACGAAAGAAATAATAAATAACTTTTCATCCGTTTTTTTTTTTTAAGACTGCTATATTAGAACTCCGAAATTCAGTTGCTTCATAACTTGTTCAGCTGTCGTCTGGAGCAGACACAATCTCGAAGTTTTCCTGTTTTTTTTTTGGAGTTTGTGTTTTAGGAATTGATAATTAACTTCATTTCTGTTATTGGATCATTTCCAGGTTTTGTATCCTTGCGAACGCAGTTTCTTTGTTGTGGAATTTTTGACAAGCAAAGTTGATTCTTTGTGCGGTTAAAGTTTCTGTAATCATGATGAAGTACTGTGTCGCGTTGTTGCTCGTCTTGGGATACACCTTTGCCCAAGAAGCTGCCCAGCAGGACCCTGCTGCAGCTGCTGCTGATGCACCTGCAGAAAAGGACGGCGAGCCTCGCCCTAGGATCTACCGTCGTATCATCCCCGCTGATGTTCTCCGAGGTTTGTCATTTCATTTCTTTTGATTAGATATTTTTCTAAATTTAGTGAGAGTCTCAATATACAGAATAACCTATTCTAAGGAGATCTTATAATTTTCCTTTAATTTTCATCTCAGACTAGTCATCGGTGAACAAACATAATAAGACTGCTTCTCAGGTTTGAATTTCGCTCAGCTCACGTTTTAATTATGCAATATCAAGCAAGCGACATCTGTTATTGGAAGATACGATATTTGCGTTGGTTACACATGCTGCTGAAAGTAGATGTAGCGCTAGATTAGATCCGCGTTTCTGCGAAAACTAAACCCTTGTTATTTTTTTTCGCAGACTTCCCTAACCACTGCTTCGCATCCACTCTGTGCAAACTGTTCGAGCCTGACCAGGACTGGTCTCTGGAGCCATTCTGTGGCCAATCTCACTGCTATTTGGACGAGAAGGTCGGTCGTCTCTTCGAAGTTGTGTTGGACTGTGGACCCAAGCCAACCAACCCTGATGCCTGCAAGGTAAAACAATTTCCTATCGTGAATTTTTTTTTTTAAGTTCCCCGATCATTTTTGTAAATTCGAAAAAAAAGAAGCTCGCTCGCTATATTCAGGATTAAGCTTTTCGTTTTCTACTTTATTTAGATTCTCTATACTTTCAATATAACTCTTGAGAATAATCATTGGTATTCAGCACTAGAATTCGAACTCACGGAATTATCAGGTTGCCCTAAATTCTGTTTTCATCTGAGTCACGAAATGGGCAGTGTCACACGCTGTAAATTTGTCATTGTGATTGAAACCCCATATTTTTTAAATGCGAAAAGAATGTGTAGACGTCTGCTGCTGAACGTGACAGCATGTAATATACAGTACATAAACCCAAATGAATTTTAACGTTCTCAAATCTTTTTTTAATACATTTTTTACTTCGAAAATTGAAGGTTAATGATTCAATTATTTTTCAGATCCTGACTCCAGCCAACGAAACTGCAGTTTTCCCCAAGTGCTGCGACGTCTACGACACCGAAACCTGCAAGTTCCCCGAGTTCAACGCACCAGAGGGCGCTGGCAACAAGCAGGCTCCTCCAGAGGGCGCTCTTCAGGGTCGTCCGAAACCCACTGCCTAAACAAATCACTTATTGAAACCAGCTTTTGATGAAACCAAAACTCGTCCAATTTCTGATAATGCGGCCGTTTCCTAAAAAAAAAAATTTACTTCACTCTTCGACTCGGCATTGACAAAAAAAATCTTGCTGGTGTCTGGAGATCTAGAACATGAATGAGACGCTAGTGAGATTCTTTATTTGGGGGACTTGTTTTTTGTTACACGCAGTCTGGCTGATTGTATAAGAAGGGGCTGGAAAGGAATTTTCTTGGGTGAAATTCGGAAGTGTTTTTTTTTCTTTTTTTTTGTAGGGATGCGCAAAAAGATATCGTGAAAATATAAAAAGGGGAGTCTCGGTACCTACTGAATGTCCTGTTCTCTTTTTTTTTTATGATTCTTTCTTATATGCTCAGATCTGGAGCTGACGGGTTTGTATTGCCTGTCCGTTGTCATGGAGATACACGTGATACTGGCACTGGGTGTTGGGATGTCGAGCCCTGTTTTCTCTGCTGGCCCTGTTTAGTTTTTCTGGTCCAACCACGGCTTTCTGACGTCGAAAAGTGCATTCGAATACTTCTTTGTGAATACGAATAACAAATATTTTGTTAGAATGCTGCGTGAAACAAATTGTGTTAACTGTAATCATTTCGAGATAAAATTCATTTATGGGAAGAAATGCTTAAAATCTGAGCTGTGCAGATGATTAGTTTCATTCTTCCAAGAAATTAGAAGTTGAACGTGCGGAAAAAGAGAAGATTTGATTTTAATTACGAAGTAAAGATAACGTGAAATGTGTAAAATTTATACTAATTTTATACCTAGACTTCATCTAAAGTTCTAAACGAAGAGGGGAAATTCGGCAGTGTATGGAATTTGAACTACAGGTTATGTGACTAAGAATCCTTTCAGTTAATTATTTCTTGTATTGCCTCATTTACGTTAATGATCTAGATTCTAAACTGTACATGATATGGTTATTGATTGCGTCAGGTATTCCGTGCTATATACAGTACTGTGGTAAATGTGCCTATTGATTTTGTGCAGGAATCGATTTTAGGAATCATGGAGCAATCGGAGACAATTGATCGTCCACCGACCGCAGGTCAATTGAATAACTATATATTGTTCAATGGTTTTCATAATCATGAGGAATATTATCACTTTGAATGCATGTATATAAACCTTATCGCATCTCAGGTGATGGCCTATACAAGCCCTGTTTATAAACTTTCGCATTTAATTTTATTGGCCGTACGGTAAATTCTGTACTATTTAATTTGAGAAAATCCTCTATAGTTCCATACAGTTTTTGAAATTATTTAATTCTTTGAAGGATGATTCCTCATTCACACATTGGATTTCATGCATGAACGACTAGAATCTTTATGTCGACTTGTTTGATCATTTATTTACGAATAATTGAATATTATTCCCAAAAATCCCAGCACTGATGCCCTTGAAAAATCCCGTGCACTTTTTCAGATGACGACGACGTCGATACGGTTGGTTCTCTCACAATTAACTCAGGTAAATTAAAATGAATACTTTTGGGTACTGCTGTCAAAGATAATTGATTTAAATCAGGTTTTTTAATTTGCAAAGATGTCAGTGTCATTGGAGATTTGAGCGACGTTCCGGAGGAACTGAAGCCTCTTTCAAACTGTACCAAATTTTACATTGGGAGACCGACAGCTGTTCCATGTGAGTCAAATTATCGAACCCATCGATTTTTTGAATATAGACTTTTGCAATTTTAATGGATTATAATAATTTGAACTGCTTCAAAATAAAACAGCGGCAACGATGTGGCAGCGGCTGTACGATGTTGTGTTGGATGACCAGCACATTTTGTACACGCTCACAGGGTTGCTGAGACCCACCCCGACCTACACGATCCCTGCATCTTTAATGCTGAATTTCGGAGACTCCAAAAATGACACGGCAGTTCAATTGAGTTTCAGTGAAGAGCAGAAGACTATTTTTGGCATGAGAGATCGCAAAAAACGGAAACCGATCGTCGTTTGGTTTCCCGAGGTGAGATCCGTAAACCTTGCGTTTTCGACACAGTTTTTATTGGCTCGAGTCTTGGAAGGAAAAACTATAAGCAGTGAAAAAGAAGCGAATTTTTGCATAAATAAATGGCAAGGAAGTTATTTAAAAGATTTAGGAGCGTCATTAAAATTCAGCTGACATGGATACTGTTTATTTTAATGAAATTCCAAATAGTTTTTACATTTGTACATTACAACCGCCAGAACCCACGTATACCTGGAAAATAACGAAATTTTGTTTCAAAGCATCGGAAGTCCAAAAATTTAAATCTAATTATCGCTATAGTGCACTAGCTTGGAAAAAACATTCAATGCAATAGTCCATCAAATCAATTGAGTCATTTTTAACAATCAGCCCAAGTTATAATTGAGTTAATCTGCTTTCAAGTTTTCTTCCTCGTCTTTGCGAGTTTTGCATTTTGGTTTTCAGTGAATTTCTAACTCTGCATGTGTTCTGCGGTGTATATCTTATTCAGCAGTGAAAAAAGTCTGAATTTCGAATCTTGACGTAAACGTATATATACAGGGCGTGTTTTTGAAGATGTGAGAATTTTGCTGAAACCTATTCAACAGTTTTCCTAACCTCAGTATTACGTCAATGATCAACCAAACTGCATGTATCTTCTTACATTTGTTTCAAGGTTTGCATTTCTGGTATCTTCATAGAGTTATGAACAGTACCAAACAGCATGAGATGCAATTATTATCATTTAATAATAAGAGAGAGGATAAAAGTTCTATAGATTCCGGTCACTTCTCGGAATTAATCCCTGTAGTTTAGAAGTGAATCTATCAGTTTCATGCTGCAAGGATATAACCGAAAGAAACAAATTATCCCACGACAAAATTGATGACACATCTCATAATTGCTTTTCCCTTTTTGATCCACAAAATCTGCAAAGGATACACCATTTTTTAATTGTTATATCTCATTTAAAAATTGAGATGCTGGAATGAATATTATTTAAAGTTCTCCAGGTGAGGAAAATCAATGTTTTTGACTTGATAAAGTCCATTGTTTGACCCGGTTTTTCTGTTGTTGTCTCGCATGTGATACTGTTGCTTTATTTTATTTTTTTTTATAAGGAATTGAAGATACACACATTCCCAGGAGAAGAAGGAATCGGATCTGTTGTCCGCACTTCGCCCACATCTTTCTCTGGTCGTGATCCAAAAGGGAAAGACATTTTTACTGTCGACTTTCCGATGGACACGAGTGACATTTGGAGCAGGGACTGGAAAAAGTTTGAGATTATCGTGAGTGCATCCTTCAGTTCTTTTTAATGCACAATAAAACAATTACGCACTTCCGTATTGTTGAATATTCATTGGTGTCCCGGTAATAATGAAAATTGACTTATCGCAATAAAATATATCGGGATATTCATGTATAAGAGCTAGGATACGAGTCATCGCGTTTGGTATTTTATCGTGTTCGATGTGGAATACTTCACGAACTTACACGTCAATATTAAATTAATGTAATGTACAGTACTTTGCAGCAATACCGTAAGTCTCAGATCGAATGATTCAGATCTCATTTTCTCAGGAAGACACGGCCTCTTTCATACAACCAGAAGTTAGAGGACAGGTAACTTTTTACCTGTAGGTAGATGTCACTTAAATCACTTTTGGTCCACAGTACTGTACTGTACTGTACTTGTTAATCCAAGCGTTGTGGAAAAATGAGAAGAGGAAACCAATGAAGGTTTCTTCCCACATCACCTGATGATGCCCAAGTTAAATTGTTCGCTTCAAATTGTATTGTATCAGTCAATCAGACGGCAGGAAACATGAAAGAATATTCCTGAATTTTCTTGTCAGATCACCTGACCAGAATTTTTGTAATCAAGCTGTCCTGAACCCATGGACAATTTTCTCCGTCTTTCCACCTGAATTTTTCAAAAATCTTTGATTTTCATTCATGTGATCTGATCTTGCTACTCGTATTTATTGTGTGAATATTGATTGTTTTTCTTCTTTTGAATTCTTGATTTTATTTGACTCTGCTGAAAACATTTAATAAACATTATTGAAAAACTAGGAATATATATTTGAGGCGGTGACCCCTTTAAATATGTGTTCTCGTCCTCAAAAAGCTGATTGCCTGTGTTGTCCTCAAAAAGCTGATTGCCTGTGTTGTCCTCAAAAAGCTGATTGCCTGCGTTTTTATTTCTTTTGTGATCCTTGATCACACCAGGTACAGTATACTTGTTCATAGTGTCTCGATTACTGTACCTGATTATCATTATTATTGCTATGATGCGTTCAGGTGAAACGAGTTGGAGTTGCATGGGACACAGACGTTGCTGTGGAGAGGATAATCAAGTTACAGATGGCTGATCGACTTTCCTGGTGGTGTTGCGGATCTTGTACATCTTTGTGTCAATGTTTTCTGAGAGAATCTGACAAAACTTCCAACTTTATGATCAAAGCCACGCCGACAACGAGCGCCGAAGAAAAGGCCATGTTTATTGGAGTGGTCATGCTTCTCGTGAGTTTTAACATTTTTTCCCCTCGCGAAGTTCGAAAGGAAAATTTCTTTTGAATGTTCTTTTAACCCTCACATTTAATGAAGTCATCCTTGTATTCAATTTTGTATACAAATTGCGTTTACATCTTTGCAGAAATTATGTTTTCTTTTCAGGATTTGCCGAGACTCTGCGCTCGCCGTCAAATTGCCAGATGGAAAAACAACTTGCACATTCGTCGCTGAAACAAATGACTGTACTTCACTGAAGTTTTTCCCTAACCCTTCCTGCTTTTAATTCACTTCTTTTACAGCAGGAACTTTGATATGAGCGGCATTGTTTTCTTACATCTCATTGTCCGATGACGATGAACTCCGACAATTAATTCAACGATCTACTTGATTCAAGAATGAGTAATTTTACAGTGCTTTTATTAATATTTTTATATGGTCTTGAATTTTTTTTTATTTTTGGTGGAATTTAGGGAATAAAATTGGCTTATCTTGGCATAAAATGTACGTCCATTATGCCAATAATAATGGAATGAAAATCATGCGTTGAAAGATTAAATTTTTTTTTCATTCAGTACAGTATTTCGAAACCGTTTTATGCTCCGAGAATTTTTTGCCTTATGTGAATTTTTCGAATGAGAAGCGGAAAAGAGAATATTCCAAGTTGAAAAGGAAGCAAACTTCGAAATTGCGAGTCTTGCTAATTTTATTCTGCAGCCACAGCGATTCAATATTGCATTGTCTGTTTTTTGCACACCCTGAAAAGGATTTACAAATTATGCCAAAATTCAGGCAGAAAATCAAATTTCGGATATTGTCGTTAATGAAGGTCATG